GTGTTCCTCTCCTTTGCTCATATTTTCAAAACCCACCAGACTTTCTCATCTGGAAAAGAATCAGCAGTTGTAACAATTCATACTAAGGTATCAGTGACTAAATGCATCACCAAGCATGTTATCTTTTCAAAAGAATAAGAAGATAGCAGTTTATACAGAGAAAGCAACCAGTAAGCCACATAAGGTGGCACATGCCTGTAACCCTAGATGTTGAAGCAGGAGGTTTGAGCTCAGCCTGGGCAATTCGGCAGTTTAACATAACCCTTTCTTAAAATAAAAACTGAAAAAGGGCTGGGAATGTAGCTCCATCCAAGAGCCCTGGATTCAATCCATAGTACTGAAAAAAAAGTATTCTCCAAGTACTGAAAAGAGGAAGAAAACAGCAAGTAACCAGTACCAGAACATCTTGGCAAAGATTCTTTGCTTGACTAAATTTTGGTCAGCTCCCTCAACTTTCTCCTAGGCCCATCTATATATTTCATTATAGTATTTTCTTTTCTGATGCTATCACAAAATGCCTGAGACTAGGAGGTTTATAAAGAGTATAAAGTTACTTGGTTTTCATTTCCAGAGCTGGCAAGTTCAGGAGCATGTAGGCAGCACTTGGTAAGGGCCTGCTTGCCTCATCATTGCTGGTAGAGGGCATGCATGGTGTCCCAGAGCATGGTGTAGGTTGGATTTCTCCTCTTTATCATATAAGGCCACTAGTGCTACCAAAGATGCTAACTTCATGATCACATATAGTCCTAATTCCCTCCCAAGGCTCCATCTTCAAATACCATTGTATGAATTTAGAGATTAGGTTTCTAACATATGAATTTGGGAGAACAGATTCAAACCATAGACCCTACACAATCCAATCTTAGTGAGAACCCTGCTTCATCAGTTTAGTAATAATTCCCCACCTTTTATATCTGATCACCCTTGCTATCTAATTAGCTTCATTATCCTCTACCATCCTTCAGGTGAGGTCTGATCCCCTTGGCCTGGCCTATTAAGTTAGTTTAGTTAGATTCCCCCATTCTCACCCCTGATATTTTCTCTGAGTAATTTTTTTATCCATCAACACCCACTCTACTCCTTGGCTATAAATTCCCATTTGCCTGTGCTGAATTATAAATTGAGCCTAGTTTTATACTGAGGTTTCTTTTCCCCTATTGCTGTCGTGGAACAACATAGTTCTGAATTAAAATCTGGGCTTTTTTTTTTTTTTTACTAATTTACTTTTCAGCTCTTGCTTTCCTTGACAATCTTTATCCATTCAACAGTCATCAGGATTGACCCTTTTAATGTACTGGGTACTGTGCCCAAGCCTGGAAAATGAGGGAGAATAAAACTTACTTCCTGTCTTTGATGAGTTTGTATTCCAACGTGGGGGATTTTACTAGCCAATGCTATCACAGCCATCATGCGAAGATGTCACTAGAGTCCCACACATGCCCTTTGAGAGCACAGGGGCCTTCTGGGGGATGGCCAGGTGTGTTATAGGAAAGGGCAGCTTTCCTATGCCTGACGTTGCATTCCATAAAGCTCACATTTGAACTGTGAGATGTGAAGGTCAAAGCTGCTTTGTAGCTTTCAGCTATGTTGGGCAATTTCAGCTCAAGTAGGTTGGTGAATTAGGATTTCTATGTGATCTTTATGGTGTTCTGTGTCTTTAGGAGCAGGACTGAGGATGAGGAGGGTCAACCTAAATGTCAAGAGAGTTATCAGTACCGTAGTGGAGGTCTGTAGCAGTCTCTCCTACTCTCAGAGTATGATGCGAGGGTGGTGATCTCTTTGAAAGAAACTTCCCATCAACTAGCATTTGGGGTTGGGGGTGAACCTGATTCTGGCTTCTCAGGCTGTACGTTAGTGCTCTGTGTGGAATCTGGGTGAAGTGGAGATGGCTTTTGTCAAATCACTAGTTCTGGTTGAGAGGCATTCATTTCTGGCAGCTCAAGTGACCCATTTGTTCTGAAAATGTTCAATCTGAATTATTTTGATGGTGTTGTTTTTGATTATTAAATGATTTTTCATATATTTAGATATGGGTAAAATGTCTTATTAAGAAATTAAGCTGTGCTATGTCCATGTACCCACTCCCCATGAGGAATGTAATCAGTATGTACTGCAAACATGTACCAATAAAAACTCCTAAAAAATATGTAATTCCTAATGTCATGAATAGTAAAGGCAGAGATCCTAAAAATTCTGGACTTAGTTCAAGTGTCAGATTATGTTAGGGCCAGAAGCCCAGTCCACCCCAAACATCTTGCTATCCAAGAGTCATTCCTTTGAATCAATGCCTCACCTTCCCAGCCCCACACTGGCTATCACTTGTGGAGATCTGTTTGTGTCACTTGGCCATACTAGTAGTCCACTAAGACTCATAACTAAATAATATAGGGTTATTATTATTTTAAAAATCAAAGTTGAAGGGTTGGGGATATAGCTCAGCGGCATAAGTGCCTGCCTGGCAAGCGCAAGATCCTGAGTCTGATACCTGGTACAAAAAAAAAGAAACATTTCTGGATAAAAGTCAAAGTTGAAAAGTCAGAGAGAGTAGGTAGTGAAGGGAAAACTGGGAAAAAGAGGTCTACCAATGGCTTTTCATAGCACTGGCTGACTCGATAAAAAACAAAAACCTCCATGAAAAAGTAACTAAGATTAAGGGACAAACTTTGCCGTTTTATAGATTCGCATAGAGCTTGCAAGGCTCATGCCTTTCAAAGGTTTTATGGCGGATAATTTTATTTGACTACTTAGGGAGATGCTAAATAATAGTAAATAGCCTGTAACTGAGTGACAGTATAGCCAGAAACTCAATTGTTTTTGGTATTGCATGCAGTTTTAATGCCCTTTTAATGTTAGAAAGAAACATCATAAAATAATATATGCACAGTATACTTATTTTTTTAATGTGTAGATCTCTTTCTCTTAGAGAAAAAAGGAAATATATTAAATTTGAGGTGCAAAAAACATTTCTCACTTTCCATGTTTGGAAAACTAAAAAACTTACCACTCACATAACTTACAGGCCACACTTGGCCTTTGATCAGAACAGTGCAAAGTACTTATCCTGGACCCTAGGTAGCATCAGAAGCGAGGTCCCAGGAATTTGCTTTTTTTTTTTTTTTGAGATATTGTGGATCAAACCTAGGACCTTTGCACTGGGTCACTCTCCAGCCTGTTTACTTTTTGAGACAAGTTGTTAAATTGCTCAGACTGGGCTCGAACTTGAGATCTCTTACCTCAGGCTTCTCAAGTGCTAGGGTTACAGGCATGGGCAATTACACTGGTCAGAATCTTCGTTTTTAAAAAAGCTACTGAGGTGTTCCAGATACTCTGGTAGAATTGAGCTCTACTGCCAGGAAACAGACAGGGATTTACAAACTCTGGACTTAGTTAGGCCTTATCTCAGCCTTTCCTTTATTATGCTCCTGTAATGGCTTGAGTAATAATGACCTTGTTCTGGGCCATTTTCTATTGATCCATGACCCGGCTGGGAGACGCTGTCTCTAGGATCTTTCTATTCAGGCTGCCAATAATTACCTGACTAAATACAGCCTGCAGTTCAAATGTGTAAAGTTTTCCTCTGCAAGAACTGGTGCCCTCTCAGGTTGTCTTAATTGCATTCCTTTTCTAATTCATCTCTCAAATGCAGCAGTTACTCCGCAAGAAAGCAAACAAACAGGAGGTTCAAAGCGTCTGTCTCTGCTGGAATAAATAGCAACGAAGAAGGGGCAGGGGAAAAGCTTTATGTGTTAGGTGGACCTTGCGGAAATATTCTATTTGTTTAGCATCGATTTGTACCAGGTAATGTGAACTGCGTTGCCTTCGGTCTCCTTACAGATTACATGCTGTTTCCTTTCCTGGGCTGTAAAGGAAATTGGTAGGGAATTCTCCCTCCACCTTCTCTCTGCTAAGGACAAGATCTGCCACACGTGCTTGGGTGCCGCTGGACGGCTGTATGCTTCCCAAGGCTGCCTGCATTTCAACCTCTGCCCGCTGCAACTGCAGTCTTTCCACCCACCCCTTTCCCTCCAGGTAAAGAGAATGTTCATACTTCAGGTTTTGTTACCAAGCAACACACAGTTCCATTTGCCAATTGCCACCATTTCCTTCTCATAGTATTACAGGCCTTATTATTAACATTTAGTTCAGAGAAATTGCTGTCATTATGTGAAGTAACTTCCTTTAGAGGTTATTCATTAACCTTAGGTATTTTACTGTGTAATTGTAATTGCCAAGTGCCGCAGGCTTGGAAAAACCTTTGAACTCCTCAAGGTATTAGGGGATGGCAGAAAGGATATTATCTGATTTTTCTTCCTTTTCCAGTTAAGGTTTAATTTTGAAGGTGCCCCGTGTCCCCTCTAGAGGTGTCTGGCTTCCTAAAGGATAAACTCTTCCATTCCGTTCTTCCAGATGGCTGCCTGTAGTCCGGGCACCTGTGAGTGTTCGATATCCCCCCAACAAAGTGAAACGTATTCCCCTTTGTCTTAGAAACTCCTGTGAGACTGAGAAGACCCGGAGCTTGGTGAATGATTGGCAGGCGTACTTGCGCCTCGCTGGAGCTCTGGAGGATCTTGCACAATGACTGGAATTGTATATTGTGCACAACCTTGTTTTGACACAACGGAAGACCTTCATCCTATTGCTCACTCGATGGTTCTATAAAAGCAATTTTTCACTCGCAGGTTGTGCAGAGCCAGGTGTGCGTTCCATAATACGCCTATTATGCAGCCATCTCAGTGGCCACGCTTATACAATGACCCTTCTGATTTGCCCCACATGGTGTGGTTGCCAAGACTTTGGTCCTCACCTGGTACAACTTCAGGTATGCATTTCACATTTACTTGTGTGGTGGGGGAGGCACCTTCTCCTCTCTCAAGACAAACAAAAGTACCTGGCGTCCCCCGCCCCGCCCCCAACTGCATGTGCCGGCAGCACCGGCGCCCTAAAAAAGGAAACCTGTTTTCCTCCTCCCGGGTTTCTGGTTTCTCCACCCCGTCTCCCCACAGTCCTTCGCTCCCAGCACCCCGTCCTTCCGGCCTCCACCCAGACTCGGAGAAGTGGCCCCACATTCCTGGTAACCCGACTCCCCAGACGGGCGGGGTGGCGAGCGCAGTGGCCACGTGACCGCGCCCCGCGAACCGGGTGCAGAAAACTGGGGGACAGGTGAGCCCAGGCCACAAAACACACGCATGAAAAGGGTGCTTGCTTCTGCATCCGACACCTAGCGCTTTGATCATCACAAATGAAAAGGCACGCTTGGCCGAGGGGTTTTACGGCGTGAACTGGGCTGCAAGACAAAGGCGCGCGATCTGGGGCGGAGCGCGCTTTACGGGCGGGCGCAGCACACAAGTCTGAACGAGGCTTCCCGGGAGGGCGCCCCGGGCAGAGCCGCCTGCAGGCCCGGCCAGCCGGACACCTGCCCCTCCGACAGTCCGTGCTCTGGTCTCTTGTCTGCTCCAGACAGCCTTGTTCTTTGATCTGTGAAATGGGGAAAATAAGGCACACTTTGATATACTTTAAAGGGCGCGGGGATTTGCAGTGCTCCTCCCCAAGTAAGGACTGGCAGAGAGTTCTTTCAGAACAGGAAGGAACATGCTGTCACATGTAATCTAATGAGCTCAGCCTCCTCTTCCAGTGCCCATTAATCAATCAACCAACACTTGTAAAGCATCTGTATGAATTCTGTGTGCAGCGGGGAAGGGAGGGAGGGCATGGTCTCTGCTCCTAAGGTATTTACTGTCTAGCTGGGCAGATGATGGAATGAATACGTGAGTGTGAACCATGATAATAGCTAACATTTACGGAGTACTTCCCCTGGGCCAGGCTCCTGGTGGTACTTTGCTTTATGCCTCGTAACACCTCATCAAGTAGGCAGTGTATTACCATCTCCATTTTACAGGCATTTTAGAGACATCACTTGCCCGGGTCACACAGTGTGCAGCAGTTAGACTGTGCCTGCAGGTCGCCAGACTTCAGGGGAGCCGCCATCGGTCTTGGGCCTGGTGTCTTCCTTCTCATTCTCACGCTGTTCTTGCTTGCTCTGCCTAGCGGGGACATTGCCTAGGGTCATACTGGAGAACTTTTTAAAACCAGCACTGTCCTCGGGGACCCTACATAAGGTTTGTTTCTTTTCCTTTTTCTATCTTTCTGCACTCAACAATCACGTTCCAGTTTATTTCTCCTTAGCAACCTTAATCTTGTGGGTATACATTGTCCTGTCCTCTGTGGTTTTATTTTCAAAGTAGAGAAAAGAGACCTCGTGTAGAACAATTAAGTAAACAAAGCAGAATTTTGCCTCGATGATCTGTCAGTCCTCTTCCTCCTTCTAATGTTCAAGTGGTACCTTCCCTCTCTGCTACTTAGTGCAGCTGCTTTCCTGAACTGCAGACTTGTAGCATCAGTGTGTCGCCAGGGCCCACAGGCAGATCTGCAGTACAGGCATCTTCAGCCCAACTTGCCACACATGGTCACAAAGCTCCCTCATGATGACTAAAGAACCGAACAGAATGTGGTTTTCCCAGGTAAGCCAACATTTTCATATTTTTTAATAGTGTGGAACATCAGCCAATAGGATTTTATGAGTATCATGGGGAGACACATCCTTTGACTTGGTATATAATCTCACTTCTCTGGATGCTGGGCTAATTACAGCTGCTCCTTTGGGCACGCATCTGAATGGGAAGTGTTGTGCCATTTGGAAAATTCCAGACTAAAAGGCATTAACGTGGGACACTGCTCTTTATGTGTTATTCCTAGTCAACCTAGTTTGTGAGGATTGACAAGTCCTGGACTAGAAATATGCATAGCTGAACACTTGCTAGTTAGTTTTGCCTTTAGTGAGCGTCTGTATTTGCATGACTCATTGATAAGAGTAATGGAAAGAACAGAGTAGGTGCTGGGAAGCCTGGGTTGTAGCTATGAGCCTACTATGCTCTAACCAGTCCCAACCAGCCCTGGACCAGTCACGTTGAATTTAACCCCTGTGAACTTCATTTTCCTCATCTTTAAGGAAATAAAACTACAAATTTGGACCAGGCTGATGGTTTTTGTCATTTACATATTGAATTTTGTGTGTGAGATGTTTAAAAACCAGAAAAGGCAATTCACTGACTCTTACAGCTTAGATGTAGAATACCCCTCGGAAGTCTCATGTGTTCAGAGGTGGGGCTTTTGGCAGGGTTATTGGATCCAGGAGGCACTATGCTCATCAGTGGACTGATCATTCATGAGTTCATAACTAAATGTGCTGTTAGGGGGTGGGGCCTGGTTGGAAAAGATGTGTCACTGGGGGCGTCTTTGGAGGTTGTATCTTCTTCCCTAACTCCTGCTTTCTCTTTCTGCTTCTTGGCTGCCCTGAAATGAGCAGCTTTCCTCTACCATGCCCCTCCACCATGATGTTTTTGCCTTGGAACAGGCTGACATGGATTGAATCCCCTGAAATGTAAGCCAAACTAAACCTCTCCTTCTTTAAGTTGTGGATATTCAAGTATTTTGTCCCAGTGATGGAAAATCTGAGTAATACCTGACAAAAACTGTGCTAAGTCCCCTACTCTAGAGGCTTATCAAGGTCCCTTTCATTATCAGCTCTCATGATACATGTCTTAAACACAGTTAGTGGTGGCCATGCTCTTGGGGGAAATCACAGCCATTTGATTTGGTTGTATTATAAATTGAATGAAGGAAAGGAATAGAAGACAACAGGAAATGAAGGTGTAGCCTAGATTTAGCATTGTCATAGGTGTTGGACCAAGGAGTCCAGACCTTGATTTGTCAGAATTTGGGGGCCACCAATGATTTTTTTAGAATAAAATTATATCAGTTTTTTTTGCACGCAGCTGTGAATAATGTAGAAAAGCTATTTCCTTATGTAGGGTTCTGGAGTGGATAATTCAGAGCAGGAATGAGCTCTACACAGTTATCAGAGACCCTAGCTTGTTTCATTTTTCTGCTTTTCTGTTCCAGTGAAGCAAGCTTTCATCCTCACAGTTACCTACTGCTCTGCAATGGCTGCCAGACTCCCTCTGCCAAGCTTGCACTGTCGGCTGAGACAGGGGAGGAGGAAGAGGAGCTGGCCAAAGGGGCATGTCTCTCAGGTTTTCTCAGTTGTCTCTTTCAAATTGTATTTTTACACATATCACTGGCTAGAGTTTAGGACGATAGAGACTTTATTCTGGGTAGTAGTATGACTATCTAAAAGTCAGAGTTCTGTTAGTAAGAGAAAAGGGGAAATAGATATTGAGAGGCAGCTAGGATCTCTGCTTCAGGTGGGGAATGATTAGAACTTTGGATGGGTTTCATTCATTCATTTACAGTAAATGGAAAGCTACAGGCTAATTGGAGCAAATGCAAACCTGAACTGGAGTGACTGTGGGCAGATGAGGGTGTGTGTGTGGGTACTCTTCAGGTTTAACAGGGTTTTGGCAGGTTCTTTCCCACCACTGGGCTTAAGGATCTTGCGAGTTATGATCAAGATGGTGTTCCAGGCAAATGCATGATTTAAAAAATTTTTCTACACAGAATTCCTATGGTTCCCCCCTCCATGAGCTGAAATATGGAAAAAGTCCCAAATTCTTTAGCTCTAGTCTAGAAGCATTTCGTCATAGCAGATTCCCTTTTTTCCCTTTTGATCCAAGCCTCACTCAGCTTCTCTTATCTTTGCTGTCTTAGGCCCATGGTTTGAGTGGAGCAGAGTAAGTGGGGGCTGACCAAGTATTCAGGAGGAATATAAATCAAGAGTCATGTGAACGATCGCTGGCTCCAGGAAAGATGCTTCCCATAAAAATACGGAAGTAAGGGCCCAAAATAGGTGGGAGATGGGGACAGACAGCAAGGTGAATAGTACAAGAAGAAGTTAGAAATTAAGACAGAGTTGGGAGCTCAAGCTGCAGAATTTCAACCAATGAGTATGAGCATTGTGGAGAAACCCTCTAGTGTGCCTTGCCTAAGTTGAAAGAATTCCTTAATGGAGACAACCTGTGTCTGATTATCCCAAGAGAAGCCCCCAGAAAAGACTCACTCAATGAAAGAAGAGAGAGTGGTTCTCCCCACCCTGTGTTTGATGTATAATATTCATTTTAGTCTGCCTACACATATAAGACTAGGCTGCATAGCCTCTTCCTTCAGAACTGTGACAGCATTGTTCTGCTATCTTATAGATGCAGGTGTTGTTGGCGAGGAGGCTGAGGAGCAATTCTGATTACGAGTCATCTATTTGTGGCTTTTTGTTTTCTTTCTAGAGGCTTTTGGGATCTTCTCAATTTGATAATGAAGTGCCTTGCTGAAAATCTTTTATCTTATTCAGCACGGTGTTCGCTTAATGGGCTCTCACTCAGATCCTTCAGGCGTGGGGAATTTTCTCGAGTTCTTTTTTTTTTTTAATAGTACTGGGGTTTGAACTCAGGGCCTTTACACTGGTATACATCCTTAGCCCTGTTCAAATGTTTTATTTTGAGACAAGTGTTGCTAAGTCACTAATTTGTCCAGGTTGGACTTGAACTTCTGATCTTTCTGCCTCAGCCTCCCAAAGTGCTAGGATTATAGGCATGTGCCACCATTATTATGTTCTCACATTATGTCTTTGATGATTTCTGCCATGGTATATTTTCTGTTCTCTTTTTCTGGAAATCTTATCATTACATGTTGGGTATCTGAGATGTTATTCTCCAAATTTTCATCTCTTTGGTTTTTATCCTGTGGCTCTTCGTATTGCCTTCTGCTAAGACAAGTAAGAGCTTTTAACAGTTGCCTTGTAAGTGCAGTTTATTTTTCTATTGCCAGTAATCAGGGTCTATGATTGGGGCTGGGGCTGGGGAAGGCTTCTTGGTACTGAGGGTTTGTCTAGTCAGAAGTCATCTTGAAGTTTCCTCCCACTTATCATTGCTCACATGGCCCTAGTCTTTCACATGATTTGATGCAAGTGAAGTTCAGTGCCTGGTTGGATTTCTGCATGGAAATAGGGGCCTTTGTGACCCCAGCTCTACTAGCTTTTGGGCTTCAGATGTACACAACTTGTATTCATGCTGTGAGTCAGTACTGTGAGTAAGACTTTGAAGAAGTGGACAGTTATAAATAAATAACCTATTTGTTATCAGTGTAGATAGGGTGATTTTTGGTTCTGTGCAGAGCCTGATAATTCAGTTGGATGAGTCTACGTAGCCAACTACTTATATTGCTTGAACAACGCTACTTTTTTCACAGATGCTTGAATTAATCTAAGTTTAGAATACTTTCACTTGAACATAATGTCAGCATAAGACAAACTTGAAAATGCAGGAAAGATGCTTCCAATCAAAATATGGAAGTAGGGGGCCAAAATAGGTGGGAGATGGGGACAGACAACAAGGTTCACAGTAAAGGTGGCCAAGAGGTTAGAAATTAAGACAAAGGGTTGGGATCTCAAGCTGCAGAATTTCAACCAATGAGCATGGGCATTGTGGAGAAACCCTCTAGTGCATTTAATAACAGACCAGGATACCCTACTTCCACCTCTTTATAGAACCTGTCTGTGTCTTCCGAAGAGTCAGGAGCTTGTTGGGTGCCCCTGCTTGTCAGTGGATTCTAACCCATCTCGGGCCCCTTAGCAAACACTCGTGTTTTTCCATTCTCTTCAGCATTAAGCCTTCCATTTCCTGGGTTGTCTCCTGTTTGCCTTCCATGCCTTTCTACTTCACCTTTCCTGATTCCCCTTTGAGGGAAGGTGGTGGCCAAGGGGTGTTCTGTTGTTTCAACCTTCCTGGGGATTCTCTGGCTCTCCAGAACCCAAGATGCACTGTTCTCCTTCCTCATGACCTCCAGGTGCAATTCCTAACACTGGTTGCCTCTTTTGCCCTCCTGCTGCCCAGCGACCCCCTGCAACTCTGATCTCTCATCCAGCTGCAGTCTGTTTGCAACCGTTCCCTAGGGAATCTTGGGTGCCAGGAGTGACCACTCACACTTGTCACCTACTGGAACAACATTCCTAGGAGTTAGGGTTTGTTGTTCTTTCTTATGTGACTTCTAGAACTACTGGGAGGGAGGGAGGGGAAACAAATGGCAAACTCTGTGCCAGAGTTCTGCATTAACAATCAAAGTAGAAACCCTCTGGGAATATCTTTAGACTATGACAGGGCTGGCCAAGAGTGCCCTAAATGAGACGACCCAATAGCATTTTTTTTCTAAATTGTGTGGTGTTCATTGACTGTTGATTATTGCAGAACTAGGTCAGTTGGAGGTCAGGGAGGCAGGGAAGGGAGAAAGCTGCGCACTTAGAGATGGAATAAGCAGTTCTCCCCGGCCACGTGAAATCTCTAGGGAAAAGGCAGGGCTTTAAAAGTACACTCTGGAAATTTTCTTCATGAAATTATCAGGAGAGTAGATCATTGCCCTGTTCACACTTTGGGTATGAAACAATACAAATGTTGTAGGAAAAGAATCCATTGTGAGAAAGCCGTTAAAATAATTGCACATTGAGAGATTTGGGTCACTGCTGGTCAGGCTTGGCTGGGAGTTGAATCCGCTTTAAAACTTGAGAAAGGAATGTTGGATCTGACAGAAAAAGGATGTTGAATGTGCCCAGCTTCTCTCTCCTCCTCCCCTTCCCAGGTTGATGACCGGAGGATCCCTGGGGATCTGTCACTTCCTCCCAGGAGCTCCCAGTTGCAGCTGGGGGGAGAAGCTTGCTTCTCCAGCTGTCTAACCTTTGGTTTTATCTGCCTCTTGTTGACCTCTTAGTTTTATAATGAGTCAGTTTATTTGCTTGTGCAAATTGAGTTTTCTTAGAGAGAAATAGAACAGGGCTAGAAAGAGGCCAATGTTTTGATTGTTTCCTCTTCAGAAGGAAACAGTTATGGGGCTGGGCACTGCCGGGGCTGTTCGTTTGATGACAGTCCCTGTTGTTGGTTTATTTTAATTCCATGTAGTGAAGTCTGGTGGGCAGAGAAAAATCGTCTTCCTTGTCAGAGGCAGAAATATCTGCAAAGTTTACAAGCTAATTACTTCTCGATTCTTCAGAGTTCTAAGAATTTGCTTAGCAACTGGCCTGACCAGTCCCTTCCCGGCTGTGCCCCTCAACCTGACCCTGCTTACTGGTGGGGGAGATGGAGTAGTTTTCGAACTCAACAAGCATTTTGTGAAAATGGTGCCAGTCATTTCCTCGATGGGACCTGAGCCTGCAACCCAGTCCAACAAAACGAGGGAGAACAAGCCAAAAAAAACCTTTTTAAGAAACAACACAGGCAGTAGGAAATCATACTGGTCAGGGCTTGTTTTCCTGGCTCAGGGCCTCATTCCAACCTGTTGCAATCAGCTCTGGAGTGTCTATAGGGACACCCTGGTGCAGGGGCCCTGCGGAGGAAAGGAACTTTTACATTTCTGTTTGACTGGGCTCCTTGCCAAAGGCTAAGTTCAAAGTGCAGTTTCCAGTAATTTGCTGGGACTTCTCTTTGGGTTTGATAGGCCAGGACAGAAGCCTGCAAGTCCAAGTAATATTTCCTGATTTCTGTCATTTCTTAAAACAAGAAGGAAGGTCACTGAGGGACTTGGGGCTGGAGAACTTTTGTTGGCTCTGAACTTTAGGCCTCTCAACCTGTTGTCCTCAACCCTTTCTTTTTGATCCTATTCAGGGCCATGGGTAGTCTGACCCCAGGTGGATCCACATGCGTCCCTTCTCAGAGCAAATGTGAGGTGCTCATTTCATGCAGCCAGTGAAGCCTCCTCTGATTTACTGCGTGTTAGCATTATTTGGAGCTATAAAGTTGTCGAGTAATGGCAATACACTCTTGTTTTCTCATATCTGTAGGATGAAAGTGAACTCTTTTATAATTCTTCTCTCCTCACCACATTTAGTTTCCTAGTGTTAAACATGTGGGCTTGATTAAAGGAGAAAAAGAGCTACAAGGATTTTACAGTCCTGTCTAGTTTCTCGTTTCCTCAACCACCCCTTCCCAAAACATGGAGGGCAGGGTCATATTCTTGCCATTTTATCTTGGTGTCCCCCTGTCCTTCTCTGGCTCCATCAGAGGAATTGATACATGATGATCGCAAAGGAATCTAAATCTCACTTCAAGGAAGTGTTTGGTGGAAGTGAGGTGTAGTTTTTGCCAGGTGGGAGTCTCACAAGCCTGGTGGTTTATGAATTTGATTACAAATCATCCGCCAAAAGAATGAATTGTATTTGGAAAATGTTTCCTGGATGGGTTATTCCTATTGTAGGGAAGACCCAGTTTGAAGAGGCATTCAAGCCAGAGGAGGGAAGATAGAAGTCGCAGGTGTCACACTGGAACCTGCGAGGGTCCTTTAGGGCTGTCATCAAGTTGCAATCACCTTTCACAGCAGTCACCTCTATCTCAAACATCCTGACACCCAGGGAAACAACCCCAGGGACACACAAAAGGTGAAAGGGCACGGAAACAGCCTGTGGGAGTTATCCTTCCTTCCCCTTGGAGTTCCTTTGCCTGCTTCCTGGTTCTCCTAAACATGCATCTTTTCATTTGCTAATTTGCCTCTAAAAGACCAACTCTGTACACTGCTTTTTTTCTATTCTGGAAACTGAATTATAGCAATTTAACATTATAATGGAATTCTGCCACAATAAAGCAATTCAGGGCTGCTGGTGGTGATGGTGTGCGTGTGGGTGAGAGTGGGGAGCAGAAAATTTACTACAGTGGAATTTTTCTGCATTTGTTTAAGAAATGCTAGCATAAAGCCATGTTAGAATGAAACTGTATTTAAGTATTTTCACTTTAGGATTGGTGCCATTTGAATCCATCTAAATATATATGTGTATGATGCCAAATAAACTCATTAAAAATTTTTAAAAAAACAAGAGACTTGGTCTTATGGATTTATATCACACAAATAATGGTTTGTGTACTTTTTCCCTTCTTTATTTACTTGGTTTTTTAAAAATGTACATGTTTGACTTGGTCATTTATTTTTGTATCATAGTATTTAAAAAGTCTCAAATGTCTCAGTTGTCTTTAGCTACAATAAACACACACACACACACACACACACACACACACGTACAACTTGGGACATGTTGTCCATAAGATCAGGTACCTAGCTAACTCAGTAGGCAAGTCTCAAAGAAATGGAGAGCAAAAAAAGGAGAATTTTAGCATTTTTGTTGTCAAGTGACAATCTACACTATGGTGAAATGAATTAAGTCATTTAGATTTGTGAATAAAGTTAGTTTACTGGTCATCAGCAAGAGATTCCTCAAGGCAGAGCATGAATTTCCCAACACATCTGATTATTTATTACAAATTTCTATTCAAAAGAAGACAGACATCTGCAAAAAAGGCTGATATTAAAATTGTTTCAAAGCATATGTTACTGCCTGCTGATTCCTCTGTGTACTCGTGATTGGGAGATATGATTAACTGCCTCCTGTCTCCTGTATTTATGTTAGGCCTCTGGCATTTAGGGAAATAACACTGGCAGTTGCATCTGCTTGTGAGGCATCCCAAAGGTCTGTGATGTGCATGATTTGTAATCTCCATGAGGCCCAAAGCTCTGAAGTTCCTTCCTTCCTTCCTTCCTTCCTTCCTTCCTTCCTTCCTTCTTTCCTTCCTTCTTTCCTTCCTTTTCTCCTTCCCTCCTTCTTTCCTTCCCTCTTTCCCTCCTTCCTTCCTTTTTTCCTTCCATCCTTCCTTCCTTCCTTCCTTCCTTCCTTCCTTCCTTCCTTCGTTCTTTCTTTCCTTCCCTCCTTTCCTTCCCTCCTTCCTTCCCTCTTTCCCTTCTTCCCTCTTTCCTTCATTCCTTCCTTCCTTCCTTCTTCCTTCCTTCTTCCTTCCTTCTTCCTTCCCTCCCTCTCTCCCTCCCTTCCTCCCTTCCTCCCTCATCTCCTTCCTTTTTTTCCCCCTCTCTTATTTATTTACCTTTTTAGTGCTAGAGATTGAACTAAGAGCTTTTGCACTGAGCTACATCCCTAACTCTTTTAAAAAATTTAAAAAGTTTGAGACAAGGTCTCTCAAAGTTGCTAAATTGCTTAGGCTGAACTGGAACTTGTGGTCTTCCTGCCTCAGTCTCTCGGGGTGCTGGGATTACAGGCATTCACTCAAGTTTCATAGTTAGTCTGAGATGCATCTTGAGTGTAGGAGTCAGCCTTATATGCAGGGAATAAACTGCCCAGCTGCCTCAGCATCCGCACCTCAGCATGATCTGTCATTCCTCCCACATCCTAACAGGTGCAGCCATAACTCCAGCCAGTGGGCAACAGTTGGTTCTTCTGTGAAAATGGACTTGTACACAAATTCCCCTGAGCAGTGGACGAAAATGAGAAGTGAAGGCCCAAGAAAATGAAGGTTCTGAAGGAGCAAAACTTTCATTTAATTTTTAATCGTGTATTTTTAATTTCATTATTAAGAGGCCTGAAGCGTCACTTGGACTTTTCAAATGTGCTTTCGTACCTATTATGGAGATATTATAGGCCATAGATATGTTGAGTCTGTTTATTTAATTATCATTTATTTTGTGAGGCTGGGGATGGAACCCAGGGCCTGAGCTTACTAGACAGGCATTCTAGCACTGAACTACATCCCCAGTCCCGGGGGGTTACTTTTAAATGAACTTCTTGGATTTGTGCATTTTTTTTTCTTGTTATGCTTAAGGTATCTTGGAAAATATTTCTTAGACTATCATACTGTAAGAACTCATAAATATTTCTAAACTATTTTGGGATAAGGACTTTCACAGATTTATAGTATTGAAATGAATAGTATCGCTATGAATGACAGCGATATATTTACAGTATCGTGAAACTGCAGGTAATAGCTACATAAGGAAATGGGTATGCCTTGATTAGAAAAACTCAGAAATGAGAAGTTTTAGGAGGAATGGGAGAGTTGCTCAGTAGTAGAGCACATTCTTATTAGCATGTGTGAGGCCCAGGGTTCGGCCCCCAGCATTGCAGAAAAGAAAAAAGGACAGATGGCAATATTCATAATGCAAAGCATCCCTCCCTGTGGGGAAGGGTTGTCGCCACCAGGTGTTTTCTTTCAGGTGTGAGTGGGGTTTTTTTGGTTCCTCCTCTTCTTCCCCTTCTTCCTCTCCTTTCTCTTCTTCCTCCCTCTCCTTTCTTTTTTCCTTCCTTCCTTCCTTCCTTCCTTCCTTCCTTCCTTCCTTCCTTCCTTCCTTCCCTTCTCTTCCCTTCCCTTTCTCCTCTCCACTCCTTTTTCCTTCTTCTTCCTTCTCTCCTTCTTCGCTTTCTTACTCTTCTTCCTTGCAGTACTGACGGTTGAACCTGGGGGTGCTGGACCACTGAGCAAAATCTCCAGCTCTTTTAAATTTTTGAGACATGAATTAGCTAAGTTGTCCAGGCAGGACGTGAATTTGCAGTCTTCCTCCTCAGCAAGTGCTGGGACTACAGGCATGTGCCACAAGACATTTCCTTCCTTCTACAGTTGAGATTCTTCTATCAAGTCAGTACTGACCCTTCCCAAGCAATTCTCTCTTTTTACCCTCTACTCACCTCTTGTTTTTCATTTGCACTCTTTCCAATTTGATGATCTCACAGTCAGCATGACAACTACATAGGAAGGAGGAACTAAAATATAACAAACGTCTTCTGTTTTTCACGTGTGATCTCTTTGAATCCTCATAATGCTCTTTGAAATGAAGACCTGAAAATGCTTTATTTTGCAAAGAAGCTCAGAAATATTAAGAAGCTTACTGTAAATCATACAGCAAGATGGTAGAGGAATCATGTCCAAGTTTATGCAGCTCTGAGCGCAGAGTTCTTGCTATTCTCAGTCAGTCTCTAACAAGAGGGATTGTATCCGTTTGTGGTTTGGTGAAGGCCATTTTGTTATCTTCTTCCTGTCAAGGTCTGACCACATCACTTCAATTCTAATGAGCTTTCCTCATACACTAGAAATAGGATGAAACTGTGGAATGAACCTATTGCATGAAGCAGGACACATCTGATTACTTTTTCCTCTCTGTTGCTTCTAGAGTTTAAGGATCGTACATGTTACAGATGCATTTCCAGAAAAAGTACTCTTTTAATGCAGCACTTTATTCTTTATTTTCAAAAGAACTCTTGGACATCTTAGCTAAAAAGCTATACATCTTGGTTATAATTTTAAATTTATCACTGTGCTATCCTTGTGAAAACTTTCAGCTCAATATTTTTTTTCCTCCACTCTCCCTCCAATAAGTTTAAGACCACCATTACCTACTAACTGTGGATTGAAATAGCAAGCTATTAGAATGTCTGCATTAACATCCAAAACATACTAGTTTTCTTCCAGGATTCCCATATCTATTATTGTGAAAACGTATAACTTTTAAAACTCAAATGGTTTTCCCAAGCCAATTCTCTAATCACAGACATAAATTTCACTCCATTAAGGAGAGGAAACCAGGCAGTATGACTAAAGTTAGGAATACGATCAAATTTCAAGGGAGGAAAAAAAAAAGATTAGGCATAGAATTCTTTCCATTGCTTTTGCTTGTGAAACACAGTTAAAATAAAACCTTGCTTTCCTGCACACATAAAGTGTGCAGGCCTTGAAAGTGCGAGGTTAGGTTTGGATGTGGACGCTGTCATTCCCTCACTGATTTGGTAGCGCCTTCTGTGGAGAGGGTGTCTGAGGACTGTCCAACTTTTCCTTAGAAGGGTGATAGGGGTGGGGGTAGGCGGGGCTGGGGAGAGCCAGCAAGATGCTTTCCTCCTTTCTGTAGCTTAGGGTGATTGGAAATTACTCAGTTACATTTCCCATGAGATGCTTGTTGCATATTTCTAAGTCTTCTGAATAGTGCCAGTTACCAAGAACTAGTGATATACAGGCGAGGCTACACAAGGAAGGGGAATGCGTGAGTCCTTGGGCCATGGGTGGTAGATTCAGTGGTATTCTTAACACTCCTGAAAATACCTCAGCCTCTCAAGGGTTGCTTTTTAGTGTTTGTCAAGATTTTTCTTCCTTGGCGCCTCTTTCACCCTATTATACTTGCTTCCCTGCGGTTTTTTTCATATATATGCATCCAAATTGAAGTACACAAAATGATATTTTTATGTTTAAAAAACATAAAAATTGCTTATAACTGATTTACATTTATGTTGAATTTAGCTGAGAAGGAAGAATCTTTTCTGGGTTTCCCGGCAAGTCAGAAAAGAAAGATAAGAAATGTGGGGTCAGGGATATAGCTTAGCAGCACCGTGCCTGCCTGGCAAGTGTGAGGTCGTAAGTTCAATTCCTGGTACCCAAAAGAAAAAAAAGAAAGAAATGCTTACTTTTTAAAAATCTATATTTTGGCAGAAAATGAGAATTATTAGAAACATCTTTTTAGGGCCGGGAATATAGCTCAGTGGCACAAGCACCTGCCTGGTAAGCTCAAGGTCCTGAGTTTGATTCCCGGTACAAAAAAAAAAGAGAGAAAGAAACATCTTTTAAAGCAAAATAGCAATAATTATTAAAATTAAAAATACACATAACCTTACAACCTAGCAATCTCATATATGGGAATCTATACCATGTAAAAACTAAAGTTGCTACCAAATGGCTATCACATTACCCTATTTTAACTCTGTTCTGATGACCGTTATGTCCTGGGTTTTTGTTATTCATATGTTGATTTACTTGTTGATCCACTAATTCATTTATTGTCTTCTCGCACCAGACTGTGAGCTCTGTGAAAATGAGGACCTCATCTGTCTCCTTTGCCACCGGAACATATGCATCTAGAGTAGTCCCTGGTGCTGAGTAGGCACACATATTTGTTGAATTAAAGAAATAAAAACAACCATAGAATGAGGATGTATATCCAAGGATATTTATTACAGTATTACTGCAGGGGCAAAAGAGTGGACTCACAGAGAATGACCATGATTGTGAATTGGTCGGCAGCTCCACCCCTCCCACATGAAGCACTGGGTTTAATGGCAGGGGTGTAGTATCAGATGCATAGGCTTTAATCTCTGTATTTGCCTTGAATATATGATGAACAGCTTTGGGAAATATGTTTAGCTCCCGTGCCTTAGATTTTCTTAGCCATTAAATGAAGACAATAGTGAAACCAACCTCATAAGTTTTTTGTGGATAATAATTCAGGCAACATATCTGGGAATAATGCCTGGCACATAATAGGTACTCAATACAATATTAGTTGTCCTATTTCACAGGAAAGTAGAGAATGGTTTAAGGGACATTTAACTTGGAGGCATTTCCATGATGAATAATTTAGTGAACAAAATATGATGCAGACAAATAAATACATGTAATGGGTGTTACTTTTGTAAATTGAACAATGACAGTAAAAATCTAATATATGCTTATGCTTAATATGTTTGTGACTATAAAATTATGTATAATATACATGAAGCATGTAAGGCTAGGTGCGAGAAAGAAAGATTGTGGGGTGAAAAAGGGAAAGTTGAGAACAAAATGACTACTATATTCACATTACCAACATATTGCCATGATTAAAGTTACAGAATGTGTATCTACCTATATAGTGATGTCTCTGAAATATTAAATGTGGCTGTATCAGAGGTGTTGGGATTCCAGCTATATTTCTTTCCTTATACATTAGTGTATTTGAATTTCTGATAATAAATTTCCTCATGTATGTAATCAGGAAAACCATTAAAGTATTTTTACTGTGGGGGAAAAGAAAAAAGCAATACTCTATTCCTGTGACTCTCTGTTAAAGGAAGAAAGGTTGGATGTGTCTTTCTTTTGGAAATTTCAGGCCTTTGAAGTTATCGGAAATAGTTTGTAAGGAGTAGTTGGCCACATGGTCTGAGTACAAGATGAATTTATTTTACAGAGAATTGCATGCCTGCTATCTCAATCTTCTCCTGTTTTGAAAGGTGAACTCAAGTCTAAGGGATTATATGAACCAGAGGTACTGTAAACACAGGAAAATGAACCACATAATTCTTGAAAATGTGAAGGAAGGGACTATCTACAGATAATTCAGCCATATGAAGGCTGTATTAAAAATTTTCATAGAATACCACTTATGTCAAGGCTTTGTTCAAAGACTTCTATTCCCTCTGCATTCCTTGTAAGATAAGGACGGGGCTATAGCTGAGGGTTGGAGTGTTTACCTAGTGTGTACGAGGCCCTGGGTTAAATCCCCAGCACCACTGCAACTTGAAGATAAAGCTGACTACTTTGGGTTGATCTTCAAGACTTTCTGTACCTTGCTCAGTTCATCTCCCACTTTTTCTGCCCACATTTTTCTCTGCTTTTGTCAGTGTAGACATCCCAGTATCCACTAAAGAGGTCTCTTTGCCTTGTTTCATGCCTTTTTCCCTCCTTCCCCTTTACTTGTCCCTTAAGCCTTGGCTCACAGCCATTTCCACTGAAAGGGTTTGTGAAATGTCCTAGTCCTCAGAGACTGCTCACTCCCCACCCTGGTTCTTCTACCAAGTTTGCCACTAGTGTGCGTGCCTCACAACATGGTACTCACTACGTGCACCTTTAAATAGTCATCCATCTTCACATGCAAATTTTTCTCATTTTGTCAATTGGCAAATTGAATTTCTTCAATTTGGCAAATTTGAGGATAAAGTTGGTGCCTTTCCCTTCCTTGTATTTCCACAGTTCCTAATATGTTGCCTTGGATATGGTTGGCAGGCAGTAAATATTTTCTGATTGGTAGATATTTATAGGTATTTTCTTGAAAAACCAAAAGTATGTATAATCCCATAATTAGTGTGTGTGTTGGAGCTTTTATGTAGAAATAGTTTATTTGCATATAAGCTTATCCATCGTGATAAGAATGCCCTGAGTAAATACAGAAAATTTAAGTGCCTTCCAGCTCCTGAAAAATGTGTGTGCATTCAGTGATATGCATTTATTTGTGTCATAAGCAGAATGAATGAAAAATGAAACCAAATGAGAGACAGACATTTAAATTTGTAAGAATTGGAAACTGTGAAATATTAACAGGGTTACCAATAGCTAATTCTTAGGGCTTTTATTATGCCGTGTTTGTCTCAATACTTTACATATTTTTACTTAATCCTTAAAACAACTTGATGAGATAGACACACTTATTATTGGCCCTATTTTATATAGGGTGGAACATACCTATACAGTTAGCGCCTACTTTTGCTTCTGAATTTCCCTATCAATCACTTTCCTGTGGCAAGGACAAAATACCCAACACGCACAACCTAAAGGAGGGGAGGCTTATTCTGGCTCACGGTTTTCAGGGGTTCAGACCATGGTTGGCTGCCTCCAAGGCAGAAATGGCACAGCGAAAGGTCACAGAGGAAGGAAGCTGCTCAACCCATGGCAGCCAGGGACAGAGAAAAAGGAGGGGCTGGAGGACAAAAATACAGTTTTCTAAGTCCCACCCTCCCCTCCCTCACAGCGATCCACCTTTTCTAAGCAGGCCCACCCCTGAGCACATGAAACTTGAGGGACATTTTAGATCTAAACCATAACAGTTTCTTTAAGCTATTTAATTGAAATGTGAATCTTTTATAATTTTTGACTTGTAATTTACCTATATGATTGCATCTGTACAAAGGGCAAAGCTCACGCACTCAAGGGCTTTGTAAATTAGAAGACTATGATTCTACTCAAGGTAACATTTAAAAGTACTGATTTTAGGTCAAAGAAAAATTAGTGCAAATACTCCAAAACTGTTTTAAAGGGGATATCTTTTTAAAGAAGCTATTTATGGCTGGATATATAGCTCAACGGCACAAATGCCTGCCCTGCAAGCACAAGGTCTTGAGTTCGATTACTGGTAATAAAAAAACAAAAAGCAAAACAAAACAGAAAGAAGCTATTTACTTTTAGTCTGAGAATTCGGTCACTTCCTTTCTGTGAGAATGTTTTTAAAAGCTAGAGTATGCTTCCTAAAAGAAAATTCAAACTCTTTTATTAATAGTTACATCTGGTTTTAAACCAAAGACAGTTTTACTATCTATCTCATTCAAATGATCTTGGCTGTGTGTATCATTTTACTCTGGAAGGCTGAAGATTTACTACCAGCAAAGGGAGCTCAAAATGATTTTCTAATGTCTCTAAAGGGAATTTCAAGACAGGATTTCTAAATATGTCAACATCATGTTACCTAAATTCTGAAAGGATCAAGCAAGCGATCATTGAAGGTCACACAGCTATTCCATACAGAGACAGAATGAGAATCCTGTCAGGAATTGATTTGGGTATTTTACATGAATAACTTCATTTCATCCTCATAACAACCCATTGAAGTAGTGACTATTTATATTATTCCTATTTTATAGGTGGGAAAACTGAGTTAGCAAGATTATGCAACATGCTTTAATATGGCTGAAGTGAAGTTGTTCTTAAGAAACTGAACTGGATTCAAACCCAGACAATTTGGCTTCAAACTCTAATCAATTATAAAAAAATTCTAGCCAATTTCAAACATACACACACACACACACACACACACACACACACACACACACAGTGATAGTATAATGGACAATGAACTCCATTTATGCACTTCGCTCCAAAAACAAGGATTACTCATGACCAGCTCTGTTCTATCTATATCTCTATCTGCTTCCCAATTTTCCCAGTGCTATCCCTGAATTATTCTCAAGAAAACACAGACATCCTATCTTATCCACAACTATTTCAGTAAATATTACTGGGGGAAAATGTTTTGAAAATTCAGTCTTCTTCAGAGATGGATATAGTGTCGGTTTTCTCCCCCTCCTTTTTTTTTTTTTTTTTTTCAATATTAGCAGCTTTGATAATCACTGTCTAGCTCTGTGATATTCTAATTCTGTCATTTCATCTTCATTTATTTGTTGGAATACTTTATAGCCACTATTTGATTATCCTGATGTACAGTTTGCATAAGGAAGGCCAGATAGATGCAGAGCTATGATTTTTTTTTTTTACTAGTTTCGGTGAGTTGGCTTCTTAACAGCAGCTGAAGTCAATCACTTAGTTTCTAAATGTTGGCTTTAAAAGCAAATCAAGTTGGCTTTAAAACGAACTGTCACATGGTTCCTGCTCCTTTTTTTCTCTGGCACTCTTCCTCTGTGTTTTGTTTCCCAGTCACCGTGAAGTGAGAAGTTTTCCTCAGTCATGCCTTTCTGCCACGACATGCCTACTTTGGAGCTAGCTGACCATGGATTGAAACCTCTGAAGCTGTGAGCCAAAATAAAACATTTCCTCCTTTGGGGGTGTCGTGTATTTTGTCCTAGCAACAGGAAAACTGACCAATGCACTGTCCCAAATGATAGGATTTCCTTCTTTCTGGCCAAATAATATAGAATTGTGTCTATATACCATTTTCTTTAATCACTCATCTATTGGTGGATACTTAGGTTGATCATACATCTTGCCTATTGTCCATAGTGCCACAATGAATGTGGGAGTGTGGATATTTCTTTAACTCCATATCCTTTGGATACTCACCCAGTATTGGGATCACTGGATCATATGCTAGTTTGATTTCTAATTTTTTCAAGCACCTCTGTACTGTCTTCCATAATGGCTTTACTAATGTACATTCCCACTTACAATATGTAATGTTTCCTTTTCTCCACATCCTTGCCAGCACTTGGTATCTTTCATCTTTTTGATAATAGCTTTAATTTTGTTTTAAAGTTATGTAAAACAAGCTACATTCAATGAAGATGACCATCTGTTTTCCCTCTCTCTCTCACAGGTAATTTTTTTAAACATAACATTTCTTTTTTTTTCTTTTTTTCAATTTTTTTATTTAAAGAGAATAAAAAATAAAAAAAACATTAAAGTGATACAGAATTTCAAAACAAGGCGATAGGAATTCAACAATGGTTGTTATATTGCATATGGTTATCTTCAAAGTAGTTGTTCAGATTACCAGCTATAAGCATGCAAAATTGGTCAAAAAAATTAAGGATTGACTATTTCTTTCAATAAACCAATAGAAATTAATAGTACAATTATCTTAGCTATTGGAAAGAAAGAAGGGAAATTTTTTGTAATGTTATGGTTTATCTATTTTATAGAATGAAAAATGTATATATACTTGTATCTCCCCTACGGCCACACTCTTAGATAAATGTTAGCTTACTATACAGATTTGTTGCTATTTTTTTTAACTATATGATTTTTCTCAGTGTTCACTCTTTTTTTTTGTTCTTTCTTTTTTGAGACAGGATCTCACCATGTAGTTCAGGCAGGCCTTGAATTCACTTTGTAGCCCAGGCTGGCCTCGAATGTACAGTGATCCTCCTGCCTCAGCCTCCCAAGTGCTGGAATTACAGGCGTGCACCACCATGCCAGCTCTCAGTGCTCACTTTTCAGGAGTGTATGTAGCCATGAACTTTTAGAAGGTCATGTGCTTATATGACACCGACAGGACCAATATACTTGTGTTGATGCCCTGCTCTTGTGCCTTTATCTATTTATTTGTATCTTTTAAAGAATAATCCTAACTTTTTGAATTCAAATATCACTTTTTGCACATGACTTCAAGATGTTCATCTTCAGCTCAGGTGTCTATCATAACCACCTCTAACCCCACTGTCTCAAACTAAACATCTACATCATCTTCTGCATTTTGCATTCAGTGTGAAAATACCTGCTCTACTGTCTCTTTCTACTTTCTATGATATAATCATTCTTCCCTGTGTAAAG